TGCGCAGACTCATTGGCATGATTGAGAGCAAACGTGAGCGGTCACGAGCCTACGGCAGAGTGTGGCCAAGTAAAAAATAAAAAATCTCCAAAAAAAATTGCTAGTTTTATTTAAATATAGCTAAAATAGCTCCTTGTCGCAAAAAAATAAAAAGTCGCAGCTACAATGAGAAAGTAGCTACATAAGAAATTCATTATTCATTCATTATTGAAAGCTTCTGTAAATATTGTATTCTGTAAATATTGCACACGTGTTCACTTACGTGTTCACTTACGATTGACGTGACAAACTTATGCCAATTCAAAGAGAAAATACTAATTCTAAGCTGTGTTTTATTTTTTATTATTCAGTTCCTAAACTCATGTTAAAATTATTACACTGTTAAAATGACATTTTTATGTAATGCTTGAGTAAAACACTACCGTTCACTTTCAGAAGTTGTTGTAGGGGTGCTTTCTTATTAGAATCAGAATCAGAATGAGCTTTTTAATGAGTTATCGCATATCGCATTTTTCTTCAATATCGCACAGCCCTACAATGTACTAACTGATCAACAATCGCAGGTACAAGCTACTAACAAGGTGTATCATAAATGAACAATTATTCAATTATTATTATTAAATTTAACAACTGCAAATAGCAGCTAACTTAATTTGTGTGATGTGTGTACAGCTAGGCATCTTTGGTTTCCTCTTGTGCAATTTAGATGGAAAATGTGTGCCTTTTTATCATCTGAGTCACTTATCAAAAGTTGCTAAAAGCTGCCAAATAAGAAAAAAAAAAAAAGCTAAATTTGTTGCTAGGTGCTTCTGGAAGAAAAAGTTGCTAGGGTAGTGTGAAAAGATGCTAAATTTAGCAACAAAATTGCTAAGTTGGCAACACTGGATAACAAAAAAAAAATCTTCACCGAAAACAATTATTTTACATCGTAATAATATTTTTACAAAATTACTGTTTCGACCATATATATACACAAGCGCATGAAGATATGAAATGGACAGGGGACCATGTGTGGTTGTGGCTGTACTCACGCTGAGCAGGTGCGGTTGCGGCGGGTGGGCAGGGGGCTGGGAATCAGGTAGACCCTCATGGGGGAGAGTGACCGGTCTCTTTGGCGGCAGGCAGGCAGACGCAGAGAGCTGGGGGAAACTGGAGAGACAGGAGACAGCGGGGACAGAGGAGGGGTGGTGGACTTCACAGGAGATGATGCGTCTGAGGACATGCTGACGGTGGGACACTCAAAGGATACTGGGAAGACAGAAGCGGTGAGGAGCTTGAGCTTTTAGGACTGAAATAGGTTCGCCCATCAGGATTTCCTTAAAATACAAACCATGGCATTTGTCTGGATATGTACATGAACCGAAAACAGAAACTTTGCAGAGTGACAAACATCACTGCAAAATGGATTGTAGACCAGTGATGTGTCAATAAACCAGCAGTAATACTGTAATATTTTAAAAAAAAAATATTGACATCATGTTAATACTACACATACAGTAGTATTGTAAATAATCCATTGGCAATAACAATCTGGCTGACGCTCCAGCATAATGATTGCCACCCATCATAAAACAGAAAAATAGACAACGACAATGCAGTGTGTAGCTTCTACTGCTGCACAAAATCATGTCAGAGGAGATGAGGGCAAAAACAAGACACTACCCACATTTAAAAATAAAAAGAAGCAGTGTGGGGATTTTTTTTTAGATTCTGTAAAAAAAAGAATTTACAGGAAGTGTCAACAGGTTATTTTTGTACGGTTATGGCCACTAGGGATGCACCGAATGTTCGGCAACCGAAATTATTCGGCCGAAAATAGTACCGAACAATGATATGACGCGATCAAATAGCAACCAGCGCAGAGTGAGAGGCACGCACTCTTTATTATGCAACACACACGTCAGCAGTGTGGAAGCATTTAAACTGTCCGAGAAAGACGCAAAAATCATTACAAGCACCGACAGTCAGTGTTAAATATTTTTTAATTGTTGTTTTGTAATAGATTTTTATTTGTAATAGCACATTTTGGCTTTTTAATTTATGCAATGGTGAAAAACAAATTGGCAAAATACATGGGGAAAAACCGTGTTCGGTATTCGGCCTTCAGCCCAGTGTTTAATTTTGTTCGGTTTCGGCCAAGAATTTTCATTTCGGTGCATCCCTAATGGTCACAAACTCTGTCTCTGTCTTCCTACACATATCACACAAATACAGGTGCATCTCAATAAATTAGAATGTCGTGGAAAAGTTCATTTATTTCAGTAATTCAACTCAAATTG